TATTATTAAAGTGATTATATAAAGGTTTTTTAATATAGTCACACCTTTTTATAGTCACCTAAATTTTGTTTCCCAAACCGGTGACTATAACAAGGTCTGACTGTACTGAATTTTCATGTCGCCAAAATCTTTAGTTTCTAAGGCTTTTTTGAAGACATTTTACTTGTTCAGATATTATAACTATAATTTCAGGTTTTTTCACTAACTTTGAATCAGTTAAATTATAAGGTATTATAAAACTAAACCTATCGGAACTTGCCTAGTTCAAGAATGGCTTGTAGCTGTACTAACTAGATACTAATCCGTTATCCATTTTAAAATCTGAAATTAGTGCATCTTAGTGATAGACTTACAAACCTGTACTCTTTCCCGAAATAATACAAAATTTCAGTTTATCAGATCGACCAAGAATGGGAATACTAATAGAATGATTTATCTTAACGCCTGAAATTGTTATCAATATGAAATTAGAAAAGATACTCTTAGAATAGACCCAGAGTTTACTAATGTTTTTATAAATCCATTGATAAATCATGTGTGAGTATTTTATCATGATAATCAGAAATTAGACAAATAAATAAGGCCATTTTAGTTGATTTTTAGGTTAACGTCATCTCCCCCTCACTTAACTGCCTCCCCCGAAAATTAAACAAGCCAATCACAACGCAGCATAAACTTCATTAATCATGTAATTAAAGTTGACCAATGAAATTTGATCAAAAATTCTCGGGACTATATGTGTTTGTTTAAATCGACGTTAACCTAAAAATCTAAAAATGGCCTAAATATCTTAAATGAAAATTATATTGTAAAAGTACAGAATCCAAATATGTTTTATTATAGAACCTAAATATATTTATTACACAATGTACTTTAATACAATAATAGAAATCCATTCCTACATAAAAAAGAAAATTAAACAACTATATAAAAAAGAAAATTAAACAATTATATAAAAAAGAAAATTATACAACTATATAAAAAAGAAAATTAAACAACTATATAAAAAAGAAAATTAAACAACTATATAAAAAAGAAAATTAAACAATTATATAAAAAAGAAAATTAAACAATCCAAATCACTAAAATACCACCAAATTAACCTAACCCAAGCAGTATTAATTCAGATTATTATAATAATCTGTTGGTTAGCTAGTACATTTTAGTCCTTTTCGGCTTTTTCACTTTTTTCGTTGTTGTTGGGATAGGCGTTTTAGTGTCTAGTTCTTTTGGAAATCCAGCAGTTGTTTTTAATCCAGTTGGATCTTGAGCTTGTACTAATCCTTCAAGTTCTTTGTGTCTTGGTGGTCTATATAATTGTTTTAGAAGAACAAATGAATGAAAATATTCAAGCCTATATTATATATACACACACGATAATTATAACATACTTAGTACAATTTGGTGATTGTACACCAACACCATTAGTGTTACGTTTAAGTTGTCGATATTTTTTGCAACACTTTGTAAGAACATATCTTCTAGTTTTACCATTTTCACTATTTTGTAATGCAGCTTCAATTCTATCAGCAAGGTCGATGCATTTGTCAGCAGCATCTTGCTGATCACATGGACCAGCATTGGCTAAAAGAGCAAAAACAGTTATATTAACTAAAGCTCCAGCATCGACTTCAAGTCCAGTACCCTGGGCTTGTTTATTCACGCAATTATAAAAACTTTCAGCTTTAGAAGAATGCTCCTGACTGAATCGTCTTCCTTTAAGATTAACTAGTGAGCCATTAACGATTAATGCAAAAGCCAATACGACCAAAATGAAAATTGAAAACTTCATTACGATTATTGTTTAAGAAAAAAAAAGGAATAATAAAATAGAGCCGGTATTGAAACTAGCTCAAAATATGGTTATTGTATAGAAAGAAAGAACACAGCTCAAAGGAAAACGAAAGAAAGAGCACGGCTCAGAAAATATGTAAAAAAAAGATAGTGAATTGTAGATTGAAGTAATGATGAAATATTGCATATTTATACATTTTTTTAAATCTATCAAGACTTTTTTTAAAGTTTTTCTGGCTCAAAAACGAAATTGAAATTAACACTCAAACAGTTAGCAATTCCCTATAAAAAGGATTATATAAGATTTGTATAATATTTGCGTTAGATGTATGAAAAATGTCCAAAAAGTGCCATTCTGTCAGATTTTGTCTAATTTTATTTTATTTGAAATAAACAAAAATTAGACAGAATGGCATTGTTTTAGACATTTTTCATACATCTTATACAAATATTATATAATCCTTTTTTATAGGAAATTAATTCAACTAATTACGGTAATTTACATAAAGTAACGCTAGTGAATTTCAGATTTAAAATCAATGGAATTTATTATGGGTCCGTATTATTTCACTTCACCGACAACTCATTTAGCCGACATCACGCCAGGTGAAATTTAGTAAAAATATAT